TTATTTGTGCGGGGTTGTGGAAAAGATTTTTTTATCTAATATTCTTCTTATTGTATTGTGCATTGACAATTGTCAGAGTAATATTATGTAAATAGTGTATACCTGAAGGGATTATGGCTTTCATTATATTATTGAACCTGTTACAGGGGTCACCTACATGTTATGTCCTTGTTGTTGTTCTTGCGTAAATAGGATTAAGATTGCCAATCTGTCTTAATGTTATGTTCTGTCATAAGCGATATTTTCTAGTGTATTTGTGTAACCTCTTTGTGTCTGTTAATATTGTGTTTGTTATTTTGCTATTGTACGTCCTGAGGGATTGTGATTCATAATGTATTTATATTAAATGTATATCAACCCTTGTTTAAGGGGTTTTATGTTAAGCTATGTATTGTATTTTAAATAAAATATATAAAAAAAATAGGCAATCACGGAGGCTTAAAATATTATTGAATGATATATTTTACCTGCTGACGTGGATAATCTGGCCATCATTAACTTCGCGGGCTTGCATGGATGCAACAGCTTCACGTGTGCACAGACACATGCCAACAACATTAATGTCCAGCATCTCTCGCCACTCTTGTGGTGTTCCCTCTGTTATTGAACCAAACAAAAATTACTTTAATAATGTACACAAGATAGGGAGGGAGGAGGTAAAGGAGGCTTTGAGTGCTGAAATTTTGAATATCCAACACAGCTGTGATAAAATAAACCCAGGTTTGTAAAGTAGAGCTTTTATATGCACCCACAAAACATTTGAGGACTATAGTATATGAAAAAAGGTAAAACTCATTAACAATGTTTATTACTGAAAGCATCAATTTTGTACAGGAGAAGTGTTCACCCCACCATCCATTAAACAGTGGTACAAAAATGACTCGAAGAACCTTAGAGTTAGAGACTCATCTCAACACTGCAGACAAGTGCCTATATATACCATGAAAGTTGTACACAGGGTAGTCATGTCAAGAATGTAAGAAATGAAATGCAAAAAGAGTTATTAAAGGACTGTGCTAAACAAGAAACTTGTCATTATTTTTATTGGTTGAGATACGAAATATATTGATGAACGTGTTAGACAGGAGCTTGTTGGATAGGATTGAATGGAAGCAAATGGTGTTTAGGACTTGATATACTGTTGGAGTGTGAGCAAGGTAACATTTATGAAGGGATTCAGGGAAACCGGCAGGCCAGACTTGAGTCCTGGTGTGAGGGGGAAATGTTCATTAGATAGAAGTAGTGGAAGTATGAATGAATGGTAGGGGTAGTTTGTAGGGCAGTCTGCTGGTTCAGTAAGGGTGGGTGCATAGTTCCCGATACCCCCTCCCCCGTTCTGCACCCGGTGGGAGGTTACGAGGGTGTCTCCGACCAGTAGTCAGTCACTTGACTTGCTGCCCCCATCAAATGTTTTTTTTTTCTATTCCTGTCTAAATTATTATATGTTTTGGGTTAAGTTGGTTTCATTATGAGCTTCACTCTTGTTTAGGGATTTAGACTCCAATTTATTCCTGCCTTGATTTGAATTTACATAGAGTTATGTCATCTTTTAATCCTCGCCATTTCTTTTAAAAACTGTGCGCCTATCATGTAAGTGATTTCTAGATTAGTGTATAACTTCGTTTTTTTCTTTTATCCTTGACTATCGACTCGGGTCATTCGACCCAGATCTTTGCAAGATCAGAGACATCATTTTGACATCTCTACCTACACTGGTCCCCCTTCCACATGTTGCCGACCACCCAGTCAGCTACACACCATTCGAGCAGCCTTATCCCAGTCATAACTCCACCAGCATTTCATGGTACTTCTTTGCTGGTGACTCAGTTGCTTCACAAGTGTTGTGGTGGACAGAGGATCACAGTCAACCTCTGTTCGTCAGAATCTCTACTCGTGTTGGGGGCACTGTCTTCTGTTTCAACAGTCACGTCCACCTGTGACCTCCCCCTCCCCCCCGAAAAAAATCAACAACGGCTTGGCATTCCATACCACAATTCAGAGCTACATGCCAGAACATGGCACGGCACCATTCTTCACTACGCCATTGTGTAATATTAGCCCTGAATCATTCATTATTTGTATATTTAATTTTTCATTTTTGCTTAAAATAGGATTAATTTCATGTTTAAGTGTTTTAGGCACTGTATTTCCCATCCCCAGGTGTGAAGGTTCACACAGCTCAGAGAATATTTGATAAGGCTGGTTCCTATTATGGAAATAAAAATAGAAAAAATCAATAGTTACACATCAAGGCCTGAGCTTGCTACCACCTGCAGCTCACAAGACTGCCATCCCCACGAGCCCCTTTGGGGCGGGGCAGATGGCAGACCAGAGGCCTAGCTTCTCCCTACGAGCCCCGTGAGGGGGGGAATGTGGCTAGGCCTGGGACAGTTTGTCCAAAGATGAGGGGGGTACTTGTCCCTCCCCCCCATGGGAGACTTAAGTCACGAGACACTCCCCAGATAGGGAGCCAAGGCCGGGTCACCACTACTTGGAAAAGACCCGGGGCCCGGGAGAATACCGGCAAAATAAAAAAAAAAAATAGTTACACACCTTATCACATATTCTCTGAGGGTCTGACAGGGCTGTGTGAACCTTCACACCTGGAGATGGGAAGTACAGTGTCTGCACTCTGAAGGAGGGGTGTTAATGTTGCACTTTTATAACTGTAGTGTAAAGCAGCCCCTCTGGCAAGACATTATTATTATTATTATCAAGGGGGAAGCGCTAAACCCGTAGGATTATGCAGCGCCTGTGGGGGGGATGGAAGGTATTCAGGGTTAATTCAGGGAACTGGAGCACATATCCAGTTTCCTAGATCAAGAGCCCCTCACCAGCATCAAGGAACCTTCCTTGAGGGGTCTGGCAAGACAGTGATGGGGTGAATGATGGCAAAAGTTTTCCTTTTTCGGGCCACCCTGCCTTGGTGGGAGACGGCCGATGTGTTAATGAAGAAATAAAGATTAGGGTTAGGGAAATCATTATAATATATCTGGGGAAGTGCTTAACCCATAAGGGCCTACAGCACCTGAAGAAGGTAGGAAGTGTAATGAGGTTTTATCAAAAGAAATAATAACTAATTCCTTGGAACAAGAGACCTCACCACTATTATGGCGCCTAAATGAAGGAAAAACAATATTATAGATATTACTTAGGAATTATAAGTGAAGTTTAAGTTTGAACAATGAACATAATGTATAAAATGATAACAAATATAATACTGAAGGAATCTGTAGGTAGAGTATGTAGTAAGAATTAACACAGTGCATATCCAGTGGGATAAAAGTTTTCCAAATACTGATGAAGCTGCGGCCGCAGCCGCAGCAAGCAGCAACAAGGCTGCTCCTATATCTTGCCGTCCCCTGGGCCTATCCGAACTCCAGTGATGGCCAAGTTGGCAAGTTCTGCTACAACAACTTGCAAGGAACCTAAATAAGTGACATAAAAACTGACGGTTTTGCCCGAAAAACAAAATGGACAAATTTATGAAAAAAGGGGGGGGAAACCGGCATTCAATTACCAGACCTGTGCCAGACGTAAAACCAGACATGAGACTTTTTCCATACAATAAAATTTAATGACCTCCAATCAACTTGCCCCGTGTTTTAAAGGGGGAAGAAAATTTTGGCAAAAAAACCTGATCAACTAAATCAAAAAGGGAAAATGACAGGTCTGTAGGATTTTTTTCTTCGGGGCCAAACGGGGAAAAAAATTTGAGATTTAAACATGGCTGCCGGCATCCAAACAGCCCCTACGGGCCAGACGTAAAACCCTAGGGGAAGTAAAATTTTCCCCACCCCCCCCACTGACGTTAAATCTTTTGGGACAGTAGCATCATATCTGTACCCCATCATATCATTTGACCAGTGCTAACGAGGGGGGAAAACAAGGAAAAACATCGTCAAATCAACAGTAAAAAACCCCCAAGGGGTTTTAGGTCGGTTATCCCCCCAAGAAACAGTCGTGAGGAAGAAGTAAATTTATTAAACAGTAAAAGGTTTTTAATGTTTTAGTAGCTGCCCTATTTTCCCAGTTTGACCAGTGAAAGGGTGAGAAAAATCATGCGGGAAAAACCCCAAAAAATATCTATAAACTAAAGGAAAGTCGGTTTTTGGTGGCGTTATCCCCAGTTTTTTAAAAAAAGGGCTGATTTCCAGCAAAAACAGGTCGGGAGCAACAACCCCAAACCAAAACCCCCCCGATAAATGGAACTGAGGGGGTTTTGGGGAAGGTTTAAAACCAGGGAAAAGTGAGCATTTGAAGGGGTTTTGAAGAAAAAATTTTTTACTGTAATTCAGTGGTGTTGCTAAAGCAGATCCAAAAGTGTATGGGGAAAAGGAAAAAGAAAAATAAATATTATTGTATATGGGAAAAAAGATTGAAGAGTGAAAATGGAAGGATTAGGGGGTTACAGGCTCCCATAATTATATTTATATTTCTTCTTCAATTCCATAAAGAAAAAAAAATCAGTCAGGGGGCGGGGAAAAAGATGAAGGGAAAAGTAAAGCGCCCTGGACATTTTAAAACCCCAAACCCAGTTGCCTCCTCCCAGAAAATTTAAAATGTCACTATCCCAAAAAAGGTATGGCAAAACCCGAAATACCTAAAAAAAAAACCAGTGGCCCACAGTCTTATTGTAGGGGCTCTTAAGTGGTGTTTCCCAAAATTTAAACCCCGGACCCTCAAACTATTGTCCCAGGGGCCCAAAAACGACAGATAAATAAACGGCAAAAAAGACGGTCTAGTAGCTTGGAATGAAAACCCTTTTAAACCCCATAGAAATGAAACACTGGGGTCAATGTGAGAAAATACAGCCATTATTATCTAAACACTAACAAACAGGTGCAAACACTGTACAAAAAGTACGCATAAAAAAACAGAAAAGGCCCTTAGTAAAATGTGTAAGGGGGGGGTGCATGATGGATGTATGTCCCAATTATACAAGGTGCCGAATTCATTTTGTGTGTAAAAAAATGCACTTTGGCCCCGGGTTCCCCTTTAGCAGTGTTTGACTTTGTTTTTACCAAATTTTAATAAAATGCCCCCTTTGCCATATTTGATGATTATGATTGTTTTAGGGAAAACAGGCCTTCACTTTATTCATGTCAATCCCAAGATCACTTCTTCCAAAATTGGGCAGAGTTTAGGATTCAAAGTAAAAAAAATTAGGGGGGGCAGTTAAAACCTTCTAAAATCTTGGTTGGATGATACGGGGGACTGGGGACGAGGCCCAAATAGATGGTTCCCAATTTAAAAACCCCTTAGATGGGAAAACAAAAAGGGGTTTGGTGGAGTATGTCCCTTTACTTTGGGAAATGACTTGGGCTTTCAACCCCAAGCCCTGATTTAAAAAAACAATAAACTGGAGATTCTAGGGTTTGAAGTGCTGCTTCCTAAAAAAAAACCCAAATTTAGTAGGAATATTTTACCCCTCCTCCCCGGGAAACCAGTTTTAAAAGGGATTTTCCAGGTTTGTCCGGAGTTAAAAAAAATTGCGAGATTTTTAATATGGGCGATTTTAATATCTGTTTTCAGCAGCAAAAAAAACGGGGCTATGCAAAAGGTATAAGCAAATTCTAGGATTAAATAGTTCCCAC